AAATATTCATAAGACTCTGTCTGGAGACTCTGCTGAGGTGTATCTGAACAGCCTTCCACAAAAAAGAAAAGTTCATATTTTACCGCCAGAAGCAATTGACTGTTTTTCTTTCTTTCTTTTTTTTTTCTATCAGGTCGTACTTTGTTGGACAGGCTGTGTATGCAGTGTGGAGAAGGATCTACAGAGGACGAAGCAAAGAGCGTGTGTCACCGACTGCTGGTCCAGGGTCTGCTGCAGAACTACAGTAACAGCTCCACGGCCCAACACAGTGACACTGCACCAGCAGTATTTCAAGTAAGGTCAATAATGTATTACAAAAACAAATGACAAAATCATCTTTAGGTTCAAGTTAACTGTGGAGTCAAATGTAAAAAAAACTGGTGGCTGACAAAGTTTTCCAACAAGTTTATAGAGTAACTTATCCAAATTAAGATGAAACCAAGGACGTTGTCTCGGCAGCTTAGGTCAAAATACATCATAATTCATTAAAACAACTATTTTATTATAAAGAATAGTGCCTCCGTTAGGCTTGAAGACTATTGTCGTTTCTTCATTCTTCAAAATGCTCTGATCTCACTGCTGTCGTCTGCAGCTTTGTTCAGTTTACAAGGGGGGATTTTGGAAAACTTGTGGTGAAAAACAAATGTTTCTAAATGGCCATAACTGCTTGTTTTTATCATAACAAACCGGGGTCTGCGTAGACTTTATTTTCTGCGCAGATTGAATTATTTTATCTTTCAAAAGGTCCTTCAGTTTCCACAGAACTACTTTGATGGCGAGCTCTTCGTTTTAAGATTGATCTGTAAAACATTATACAGTATGATGTCAGTGAAGGTTAAGCTGTTATCAGCTCTTTCAGTTGATTATATATGAGATCAATAACTTTTTTCAGAGAGGAGTTTGTATTCTGTCTCATCTTGACTTTTGGATTTTCAGGAATTCATTTCTGTTCCTCTAAAGCACATGTAAAGTCTCCAGAAGGACAGAACACAAAGATACAATCGCTCTCTTGTTCCATGTGCATTTCTGAAATATTAAGTTTGTTCTTGTTAGCCTGGTTCTTCATTTTTGTTCTCAGCTTTGTTCAGGATATACCACAGAGTGGAATCAGAGTTATTGACTCAGGTGTAAATGTATATATGTACTGTATATACTGCGAGTATGTGTATTTCTACATATATATGCATTTATACATCTGTGCAGGTATGTCTATATACATAAGTATATATTTATTAATTTTATTCATGCATACTGTACTGTACAGTATGTATGTACATATAGACACACTATAGCAGGACCTGACACACACATACATGTTCAAACAACTTTTGAATCGCATTAATGGAATAGGCGCAGTCTCTCTCTCTCTCACTCTCTCTATCTCTCTCTCTCACACACACACACACACACACACACAGAATCTCATAACTCTACACATATTTCTGCTTGCGTAAACTCATCTGCTGACCCCAAAAAAAAAAAAAGAATCTCATAACTCTCCACTTGTCCTCGAGGTCTTACATTATTCATCTGGACTAAGTACAATCTCTGCTGCTGCCACTGAAAATACACATCCCTTTGTTATTGCTACTTCTCCCCCAGCTCCTTATGTTTATCTCTAACCTTCAGACTCTCCTACTAGGTTATATTCACTGGAAGAGGTGTGTATATATATGTGTATGTGTGAATATATATATATATAAAAATATACACACATTTATACATATATATACATATATATATATACATATATATATACATATATATATATATATATACACTGTATGTGTGTCTAAAGAAAACACTGACATACTTCTCTGAGTAGAATACCACTGACGGCACTGGTTTACATCAGTCGACTATGCAATAGATTATTCACTTATATTCATGCATTATTCAGACACACATTACTGCTTCACACTTTTCCAGCTCATTTATGTGAGATCTGCTTCACACACCCCCATATTTATATAATTTGGCAGCGTGTTGTCAAAGAACACGATACAGCATATAAACCAGATGAGAAAAAAAAAAACACAGAAGGTGCAAAACTTTTCTCAAAACAACTTGAATAATAACAGGGAGACCTTTTCAGCTGAGCAGCGGCTACAGTCACACACACACACACACACCTCCTAGTAGATCTCCTGAAGGAGTGTCAATCTCCGAGTGTGTTCCTGTTGACATGTCCTGTGTTGTCTTCAGCTGAGTGTACAACGCCGGCATGAAATGTCACGGATGAAGGTGCTCAAAGTTCCACATCGGCATGAAATGTTACGGATGAAGGTGCTCAAAGTTCCACATTTTAAAATCGCCCCCTGTTTGAACAGATTAAGAACTCTCCCTGAGCGACTCACATCACTGGGAATTATGGGATTAAACCGTTTTCACCAGGGCTCCGGCTGACTCGCTGCAAAGTTGTCAAACAAAAAAAAGCTGCGGTTTAACATTTTTATTCGCCATGGAAACTGACATATACACTGAGCACAACATGCAGCCGTGATTGTGAGCGTCACGCTCCCGACACTTAATGGAAACATAAAGAAACCTTCAGCCAGAGGAGCTCAGTGGTTTCAAGTAGGGCAGCATCTTGAACGCAGCATTGCATCAAAACGTCCAAGTGGTTATGGAGAAAAGAGAGGGAATGCAGAAATAATTCTTTTGATGTGTTTTCTAGGCTAAGATGTTATCTATTAGAGCCAAGTCCAGATCAAGTCAAACATGTTTTTATGATGGAACAGGATTTTTTTTTTCTTTCTTCTTCTTCTTCTGGGTCCAACACAAACACAGACAGAAGATTTGATTTTTCAAAATAAAGTTTGGGTTTTGATTATTGTAGCTTGTATAAACAATGTAAATCTACACTAGAGTTTACAGGCTTTGTGTCACATGGTGATGTGAATTTATTTCGTTTTTGTGTCTGGACTACTTCTTACATGTTATTGATATTTATGCATCACTTTCATTCTATTGCCATATGCAGGAGTGAATGTTTTTTTTTTCTGTCTCTAACAGTTACTGTAAATGCAGTTATTTATTCACTAAACTCTACACAGGAAGACCAGTTGTACACATGGGCGTCCGTGGGCCTGCCAGTCTCCCCCAACCTGTGGGAGTTCTCCGGAAGCCGCAGTGGAAACAGAACGCAGGGCCTGAGATCAACTTTGAATCATTCATCAGGCAAGACACCAGGAGCCTTAAACTCCCAGGTTGGAAATATCTCATTATATTATGTAATATCTATGGTCAGAATATTGTTTAAGGTACAGTCTTGTTTTTTCTTTTAGATTTCATTTCCGATTCACATAGAGATTTTGAAAAATACAAAAAAAAATTACTTTAAATTCTCATGAAGTATTGAGATACAAACATGGCTGCTTAATTTAATCTGAAGGCACAGCCCTACAAAATAAAAAAGTACATTTTAGAAAATTAGAAAAAATTAATTATGAAAATTTTAAATGTATTTTTGTCTTTATAAGTCAGTTTGGTGGGTTAGATAAAAATGTGGATACTCTTTTTACCTCTATTTATTTATTTTAATAATTTACGTAGTTATATCTGTAATGCATTATGTCTATTTATCCTTTATCAATTTCCTGTGTCTGTCCCTAATTTAGCTTGATTGTGTGAATGTGATTTTATTTTAAAACAATACTGTTGTTGTGGGGCAGATTAAGATTAGTATATGGGGCCAGGCACTGATAAAACATAAAAGCCTTGGTTGCCCCCTGCCCCAAAGACCATCACGTATGGATTGAATTTGATCAAGTTCCTCATCTTGTAAATCATTCTTTGTCCACCAGAGGTCAGACTTGTCCGGAGAGACTTTCTCAGATTTTTTTTTTCTCGATCAAGCCGTCCTCCTTTCAGCAGAGATAATAAATTTGAAGGGCCATACTGACTGAACATTTACTGATGTGACCACAACTGGGGAAATGTGTTCTTGCAGACACTGGCTCTCCCCACATGAGGCCCAGTGAGACACTCTGTCTCTGGGGTCAAGTCGTTGAGTATCCCCCTCATCTCTGCTCTAACCAGCCTGGAGCCAGAGGTCTGACGGAGTCTAGACATAATAGACTTTCTTGACTCTTTCTTAGCTCATACTTCTGTCACCAGTCTCCTTCAGTTGTGAGTGTTTCTTGTTTTTTAAGGCGTAATTTATTGAATGATAATGTGTTCAAGACTTGGCAGCAAATTTTCAGTGTTCTTTTCTTGGATTTTGTAATATTGTGACTACACATTTGTTTTTGATGATGGTTTAGTGGAAAAGAAGACAAAACGCACACGTAGCTAAGCAGTGATTTTTATTTTTCTGTTTCACTGACAGACAGAGTCCAGCAGGTTGAAGTCACCTCAGTCTTCCTCAGAAGATGAAAGCTGTGTGATTCCTCAGCTGGAGCGAACCATCAGTGACCTCCAGATGAAGATCGCTGCCTTGCACCAGGCTTCCTCAGCCAAAGGCAGCAGAGAGAAAGTGGGATCTCCGGGTGCCTTACAGTTGAGAGAGGGGACCACCACTGGCATGAGCCAGGAGGTGTCAGTCCAAACCTCACCTGTGGAGGAGGGCGTGAAGTTTGATGTGCCTTTGAGCAGAGGATCCGGCAGGGCCTCGTCCTCTGTCCCTAAACCTACAGAGAACTTTGTTTGCACTTGCCAAAAGCGCAACAACCTTCCAAGTGTGCCTCCACCTCTACCACCGCCACCACCTTTGCCCATTACTCTTAAAACACCACCACCACCACCTCCTCCTCCACCACCACCACCAGGTTTTGGACCACCACAACCTCCTCCCCTTCCTGGTTGTGGACCTCCACCCCCACCTCCACTGCCTGGTATGGGCCCTCCTCCACCTCCTCCTCCACCACCACCACCAGGTTTTGGACCACCACGACCTCCTCCGCTTCCTGGCTGTGGACCTCCACCCCCACCACCTCCACTGCCTGGTATGGGCCCTCCTCCTCCCCCCTTTCTGCCTGGAATAGGCCCCCCACCTCCACCTCCACCCCCAGGCTTTGGGCCTCTGCCTCCAACGGGCCCCATGCCCCCCATGTTGGTCCAGGAAGCTGCCTCTGCCAAGGCCGTGATTGAGCCCCCCAAGCCAATGAAGCCCCTCTACTGGACACGCATTCAGCTGAATGCTAAAAAGTAAGGATACGCTGCATCAAGTGGAGATAGTCATGGGTCATTTCCACTGAGGTACACTCTGAACAGTAGAGAATTGAGAGGAAGCATGTCCACTTAAGATAAAAATCAGCAGCATGCTGTGGGGGCAATAGAAATGCTAACCTCGTGGAAAATGAAAGCGATGCAGTCCAGGCGTTGTGGTCAGCAGTGAAATGACTCCAACCACAGCTTCTCTCCTTAATAAGGCCTGGAAAGAAGTGGGATAAACTTGTAGAAATAAACCACTTCATTTACCTACGTGCCCTTCATATTACAACGTAAACAGGCTTTAATGGCTGACAGATATGACAAGTCTCCAACCACTGGATCAAGGCATGACAAATGAGAACTAATGAAGGGAGAAAGATTTGATGAATGTCTGTCAAAACTGAAAAAAGTTCCTTCGACAAAAAGGAAGAGGAAAAACATCAGATGGCTCTAGATCAAAACCCTTTGATCTGATTACAACTTTGAAAAAGGGTTAATTACAGATGACTGATTAACGGCACATTTTTATTTGTGGCAAATCCAAATGATGGAATTATTAATACGCAAACATTTTAAGAAATTCTGCTTTGTCCTCAACAATATTTATTATAATCATAATCATAATAATGAATATTACTTGTATTTAAATTGAAAGGCAGTTAAACGTAACATGTTTTGTACTTCTATCTAATCTTTGTCTTGTCTGCAGACAGCCTTCTCCTCTGGTGTGGGAGAACATCGAGGAACCCACTGTGAACTTCGATGAATTTGTGGAGTTGTTCTCTAAAGGTTCCGTCAAGGAGAAGAAGAAACCCATTTCTGACACAATCAGCAGGTCAAAGGCCAACCAGGTAGATTGTGCTCGGCTTCATTTTAGTAAATCCGTGCAGGAGACACAGTTTCACATCAGTGTTGATTCATAGACAGAAAAATGACACTCCAGATTTTTGTTTGTGTTCCTCCATCTTTACTTTCTCTCTTCTGATGTCCTGCTCTCTTCCATTTTTTCCTCACTCCTCTCTCTCTCTCTCTCTCTCTCTCTGTCTCTGAGTGTCTTTGAGTGACAGGAGGAACTTCTACAGCCAGACAGTTATTATGTGGTGTGAGCTCTGGCTCCCACCCGACTCCCCCGTGACCATCCCGTGGCACTGAGCCAATGTCTTGCGTGCAGTGAGGAAACCTCACGATGGTGATGACTGTTTAGGGGAGAGATGGCTGAGAAGGGGGGAGGAAGCAGGGATGTAGGAGAAGCCTGGGAGCCGTATTTCGTGAGGTGGTTCCTCCCATCGTGCTTTCTGTATGACTTAGTTTAACAGTCCCAGCGTTTCCCTCCTCAATGCCCTTTATGACACTCAGTCAATCTGCAAGTCAAACATTATCTGCTGTTTAACGCTGATCTTGTCATCTCTTAAAATCACTGCTCATAAATATGTTGGAGATGACAATTTCACACGTTTTGGCTTTTTTTTACTCTTGGCACGTGGCACTGGAATATAATACCCTCCATGTGGATTATTTGAACATGTGAGGATCCCACCACCAGAACCAAAGCAGGGTCTTCATCCGTTTCCCAAACCAGTTTTGATATGATTGGCAATAAATTGAAGAAAACTACAGAATAACAGAACAGAATAGAATAATGTGAACCCAAACAAGCAGAACACCCGTAAAAAGGTAAACAGAGTTCATCAGACCCAACAGTCGACATTGTCTGACGCTTTTATGAGGTCTGTCGTAAACACAACATCATCATGTCGCCGTCATAAATCTGTCAGGACGGGCTTTTTGGTCAGACCACATAAAATGTGTCATTGTTTACGGGACGGGCTGTAACCAGCGTACACGTCAAAAAGTTCAAAGACAGACAATTTAATTTTTTAAAAGTGTCTTGTTAAATAACTAAAACATGTTAAGGGAAGCCTCAAGTGTTTTTCAATGTCGAAATAGATTTAACCGTCGATGACTAATTTGTTTAAATTAATTTGATTGGGGTTTTTTTCCCTGCATTTTAAGACACAGCAGATTTTGTAAGGTAATTGATTTTACTCCATAGATGAGAAAAAGATGGAGGTTGTGACCCAGTGTGAAAGAAATAATCTGATCGTCACCCTGCTTGTGTTTGGATTTAATTGGATATGTAGAGTAATAGCTTCATAGATATCATAAATATATCTTTATTAAATTATTTTTATGAGAACCTTTTGCCCTCTCATTAAAGGGTGAAACATTCCACAGATTTCATTTCTTGTCCTTCACAGTGCACTTCAGCAACTGCTGTGTTTTTCTGTGGCCTCATGTGAACAAGAGCTGATTTACTCTTAACAAACAGAACTCACTACTGGCAACTGAAAACATGTGTATGTTCTGACGGATGGCTCGGAGCAAACACAGTGTCAAGATAAGTAAATGAGCAAATAAACAAATTTATTAGGGAAACATGGATCTAAAATGGGTATTGGCCACAATATAACCCTGCATTATTCCAGATAAAGGCATGAAATTATTCAATTTTTAAAGGGAAACCTGTTGTAAAAAAAAATCCACCCAAAAATAAGTCACAATTTGTTTTTTAATAATAACTAACATCACTCAATGACATCATAAAAATGTTTTACATATTTGGCAACAAGATATTGATATCAAAACAATTCTAAGTACACATTTTGAATTTGTGTAAATTTCCTTCTCAAATGTCTGCGTTTGAAAACAACATTTTTGACATTGATTAAAAACCGCTGTTCTGTAAAAATGTCCTTTTAAAAAATACCACCATTGTGCATGCTACCGCTCCATTAGCTGTGAGATAATACCTCTGACACCTGAGAGTCAAAACAGAGGGGAAAAACTATCAACAGCAGACTAACACTGCTTATGGTTTTCATCTAAAGAAATAAGACAGAGCACAAGAGCTGGAGGAAAAACATCAACCCACATCAGTCAGCAGTCTGTGGTGTGGTCGCAGTCATAATTGTGATGGACCAGAGACAAATTGAGCAGCGTGTTAGATTAGCTCTCTGCTCATCACTTGAACTGCTGGATGTGCCTTCAGTTCAGTGCTGCTGTGCACACGCCAGAGTCGGTAACAGCAAAAAATAAGAAAACTCTGACTGACCTCAATTAAAAGCCAACCTTTGACATTTAAGGACTGGCTCAAGGCCTGGAAACTATTGATCAGTATCCTCTTACTTACATCCCCCCCTGTGGGAGGAGAGCTGAACTGTTTTCTTGATGTGAAGAGACAAGCGCGCCCTCCAGAGCTACCGCTAGAGAGCGGCTCTGACGTCAGCTGGCCAGCGCTGTCAGAAAATCTCTTCAGACATCACTATCAGATGTACAGTGATGTTGACGTTGTCCAGACAGAGGTGGTGTCCAGTAAAGACATGGTTTATTACAAGTTATTCTGGGGTCTGAGCTCAAGTCCTTTTTAACTGTAAGAACAGAATATTTCAATTTGATAAACAGTTGTAAAAGCTGTCTGAAATAGCACGATATATGTGTGTGTTAATTTTATTTTTATTTTTAAATATATATGTGTGTTAATTTTATTTATTTATTTATTTATTTTTTTTAATGTGTGGTGGTCCACACAGGGTGTGGCTGGGGCTTTAAGGTCACTGGTTAAATTCCTTGTAGTCTCTATGGACATGATGTATGTGTTTACGGTGTGGGTTTTGGGACTTGAACCATTGGTTTTCTTGCTGTAAGGCAAGAGAACTAGGCGCTCTACCACTGAACTGTGTAACATGTGCGTTAACCTTGAGTGTAACATTAGCTGACATATATTAACACCGTGTGTTAACAAAGAGTGTAACATTAGCTGACATGTATTAACACCACTAATGAGCCATTTACTGATTGTCTCTTGTGCTGCAGAAGCACACCAGCTATTACTTACTTACTGTTGAATCATTTGGAAACATATCGTGTACAGCCTTTCCCCCCGAAGCCGTGGTTAGGCTTGGGAAAACAAAGACAGTTGGGGCCTGGTGATATAACTTCCTGTGTGTTTGTGGAGTCTGTGGTCTGTGTGATCTGGTTTAGATGGAAGCATTCCGTCTGGATCACAGTAGGCAGTGGGTTCCGTCAGGGTCCATGGTTCTCAGTAGGTGCTGTGGACGTGTGATGATGTCGTACGTTACAACATGGACGTGGGTTGTGATTCATATCTGAGCTGTGGACACAACGCTTTGAAAGTTTTTCATTCACATTTTCCTTCTAAACATTGTTGATAATTTGAAATAGTTCTTGGTTGTGTTTAAGGTAACAAAGGAGAAATGTGTGATTTACTGCAAATATAATATATAGAAACATACCACGCAGTTTAAATAATTATGAGACAAGTGACTATTTTTGTTGACTAATAGTTTGTAAACTTATACACTACCACATGTCGAATAATGACTATTTTAACAGTTTGTAAACTTATACACTACCACATGTAATAACCTCCACATCCTTCTCTATCCTCAACCCTCAGGTGGTGAAGCTTCTGAGCAACAAACGTTCGCAGGCCGTGGGAATATTGATGTCCAGTATTCATCTGGATATGAAAGACATCCAGAATGGTGAGTGTTAGTGGGATACTTCACTTAATATTTGGTTCTTGTAGACTCTGATATACTTCCCAGGTGCATGTGTTCAGTCTGTTTCCTGTATATAGTACATTGTTGTTATGTTAGTTTAGAAGGGATTTGAACCCAACCAAGGATTTTGGACTAGGTACAGTGGTACTGAACTCACAGGAAACATGATGTTTGTTGTCTCCAGAGATGCTTATTCAACAGGACAAAGATGATGATTTAAAATTGTCAGTTTCACAACAGTGTTTCTTAACATCCTTGTAGCAATAAATGATCATTTGAACAAGATTTAAGTTCATCACGTGATGAATCTGCATGAGAGCCATATTGCAGAAGCTGCGGCTAAATATGCATAACCTTCAGTTTATTGCGTTTTTAGAAAACTTCTCTGGACTCTGACCTTGTAGTTTACTGCAGCTTTGATTAGACTGCCGCTGATATTCATTAAGAATATTAATGTTCTCCCCAGGATTAATTGTAACAAATTTGGCTGTCAGCTCGCCTTCCGGTGAACTATCAACATCCATTGTTGCTGATTGAAACCGTCCAGATTAAATTATTATTATTACGGCGTGATCAGGAAACCAGATGGATCTGCGTGACTGTGATGAGTAGGAAAATTACTTCCACTCCACCAGGAAGATGTAGGTTCTCATGAACCACTTAGAATTATGAAATGTTTAAAAGGTTATTATTGCACATAATTGTGCATCAAATCTGTCTGGCTTTGAATGTCATCCTTATTTGTAATATGGCTCTCAGTTTTAATGTGGCGCCAAACATCATTTTCCACATTGTGTGCCTTTACGATCTCTGCTGTTAATCAGGTTTAGCACGTTAGTTAATGGGGTTACCTCCCACCTGCACACCATCAGCACATCGGGGTGTAATTAGGGAAATATCAAAAGTGCACAAACTCTTAAACACTTAATTTTTGAAATCTGATTAATCACAGGGTATCTGTGGATTCATCAAGATTAACAGAGATAAATCAACCTAAATTTGATCAAATCAAGGATTTACTGCCGTGCTCGATGAAGCTGGGTCGTTGACTGGAAGTTAAAGCCTCAGCACAGATGGTCTTTAAGTTTTCCACACAATATGTCCAAATAACAATTTTTATATTGACTGTGCGTTAAAGCAACCAGTAGATGGATGGCAATAATCAAGTTCACAAATCAATTAAATGGATTAACCTTGATTTTGATAAATCGTAAGATAATCGAGCCTTTGTCCAACTTACTGAAATAAATCTTTTTTTTTTTTTTTACCCGCTGATAAATGACTGAACTTGCCTCCAGTGTGAGGTCGTTGTGAAGATTAAACCTCCCTCTGGTAGTTTACTTTACTACAGGTCACCATAAGACGCCTGACATGTTATTTCTGCCGCCTGTTTGTCTTTGGTCTCATTTTTCATCATCTCTCCTCGCCTTACTCTCGCTCTTTCTCTCTCTCACTCTCTCTCCCTCTCTGATGAGTTCTCACCATCTTGTCTGAACGGCTTTGCTGAAGTGATGTCATTGAGGAGATGTTGATAGGAACAGACGGTCTTCCTGTTTGAGTTTACCGCTGATTACTCGCCAGTCTTCGGTCATTCACGTGTCTAAACACTCGTCTCCTCATTTCATCCAACCTCCTTTATCTTAGAGCCTTTGTTCCAGCTTGTGTGTGTGTGTGTGTGTAAATGTCACCTCGAAATGAAGATGAGCCACAGAAACGATCTGCTCCGTACTGTAGGTTTGCAGTGTTTAGGCCACTCTCCAAAGCTCCTCTGCTCTAATCCTTCCTCGACATCAGTATTATCACATTCATCTCAGGTCAAAGTGGGAGGGCAGACCAGGGCCACTCTCATCAGCACTTTCATTCATCTCCTATGTTAGGACAGTTTTTACCGTAGTCCTCAATTAACCCTGGGTGGAAGCTTCAGTATATCACTGAGAGCAGGGCTCTGAAAATGTCAATACTCAGACGCTTTAATTGCTGCTTTAATTATAATACCATTCACCTCACTTTAAAACCGTGTAAAAATGAGACGTTATGATTCCAAAAGAGAAACTTGAACGCTGATGACAGACCGAGGGGTTAAAACACATAAATAGTTTAAGAATTGACAGAAAACCTACCATTCAGACAGAGACAAGGCAAAAGATTTTCTTACTAGTAACTCTTTAAATTTTCCATTTGGAACAACATTTTACTTTTCTGCTTTTCACTGAATGGAGTGAAAATAACACCGGGATAAAGCAGTTAATTATCTCACCCTTTAACAAAAACATGGCAAAACACATTAATAACACTGTGTTATAAATTCACACTAATGTGTACTTCCTTTTTGTGAGCTGATCCAATGTTACTCATTTTCTGGGGAACTGTGAAGAATTATTGGACTAATTTGATAACAGCTTCACAGCTTGTTTGTTTATGTCCCTGTAATGAATCAGCATTTCCTCTCAGTTCCATGACGAGGACAATGACCGGCACCATCATCATCATTCATCACTCCATTTCCCCCAACTTAAAGGAAAAACAAACACTGAATCATTTCGATTTTGTTTTTATGATAGACCAACAGCGAAGTTAGAAGTCTTTTTTTTCACAGCTGTTGTTGTTGTTTGTTCTCACATTTGGCCGACATTCTGCATATTTCACAGACACACTTCGATGCGGCGTCTGCTTCCTGTGTGTGTTTGAAGCTGCAGGGTGACAGCTTTAGACAGCGGTTACTAGCGCCACACTGGGGCAGATCCTGGCAGATCAGTTTGGCTTTTTGGTCACTAGGGACCTTTGTCAGGGCGATGATACGGCTGCTCTCCTGTCAATGATCAAAGCCGTCAGCTGAACTCCGGTTCAGATAATAATGAAAACCAAATGTTTACAAGAGAAAAGTGTGAGAAACAGAAAAGCAAAAAGAAAAGATTTAGATTTGAAATGATCACAGAAGGTAAGACAAAAAAGGTTTTATTAAAACCGAAAACTTGACCAAAAATATTTGTCAATTTTCTAAGTAAACATTGTTGATCAAATCCATTACTCTGAGGTCATCATCAGGTTTCCTAAAAGAGTTTTCCAAGGAGTGCTGCTCTCTCTTATTATTGCTGACTTTTGCAGCCAGTAATAATAATAGATAATAATAGATTTTCATTACACAGGAGCTGAAGAGGTGAAGAGCCACATGTGGCCCCTAAGCCTTATGTTTGATACACCAATTTAGACCAGATTCACACTAAGACGTTTTATTTTAAACTCTTCAAAAGTTCCAGTTTGAATTGTGCTTTTCTCCATTTCATTTGTTGTGACCGATGTTTAAACAGAAATAAAACAGTGCTGAATTATGTGACATTTGGAAAAGCAAAGTGAAAAGTCAGGAGACTTTATTCATAGATTAATTCTCAATCTGTATATATTTACACAGTCAACATTATCCACCAAATCCATTTCTCTGACCTCAGTCCTCCACCGCTGCACCTCTGTACCAGATCTGCAGATCAGAACGGTGTCAGTAACACGGAGACCAGCTCACATAGGTGTGGAGTGCCTCCCCGGGTGACTCCGCGTAGAGCAACACCTCAACCTCAACACCACAGACCCCCAGGCTCTGTTTGTCTTTAAACATTTACTTTCAAAGGATTAATGCTCACGGGCGCCAGGTCCTTGCGCCGAGACAAAAAGGCGACACCAGGAATTCAAACACCGAGGTTCAAACACACATCTCTGCTCCTCTGACAGATTTCTGAGACCTTCATATTTATGTTGTAGTTGTGAGCCCTCGCGTGCTATCACGGTGAGGGCTGATAACCGTGAAACACGCAGCGCGTGTCACTTTGTGTGCAACTGTACATGAGAAGTGTTCCCGCTTCTCCAACGGCCGCTGTCAAAAACCCACGGGCAGAATGTGCTTCTGTGAGTTTATGGTTGTTTGTTCGAGCCGTAAAGTGTTGTCATCTGCAGGTTAGGAGAACTGAAGGCCTATTTGTGCTGGCTTGATTTCTGACTTGTTAGTGTGTTCCTCAGAGGTTGTGGAGAAGTGTCAGCACTTGTTTTAGTGTCAGCACTAACATTAACCACGTTGTCCTCTCTTCTGTCCACAGCCGTCCTAAATATGGACAACGCTGTCGTGGATCTGGAGACTCTGCAAGCCCTTTATGAAAACGTGAGTCTATCAGAGTTGCTGAGGTGTGATACTGGACTGTGGTGAGATGGCAAAAATGCATGTGTTATAACAGAGTCTGTCCTACTGGACCTGATCTGGTCACCGTTCAGATGTCAGTCCTTCAAACACAGCTCTGATTGGCTGCTCCAGTTTACGTGAGAGGCAGTTTTTTTCTCGTTTTATTTGTTGACTATTGTACCCACAAATTCTGTCAACACAGCTCTGATTGGCTCCTCCAGTTTACGTGAGAGGCAGATTTTTTCTCGTTTTATTCGTTGACTATTGTACCCACAAATTCTGTCATTGTCTTTTAGCCTCAAATAACTTTTGTTTTTCTTCAGTGTTTGTAGGAAAGCGGAACATTGACAAAAATTACACGTCCCGCAAATTTACACGGGCTTTGAGCTCCATGCATTGATTTCAAGTGTAGATGACTGACGGTTCAGGCGGATCCTGACTGCCGCGTTCAGTCTGGGAATGTCAGTCTTTTCTTTTCTCTCTGCGGTTTGCAGTAAAAGTATTATTTGGAGCTGGTTATTTGTGAGAAATTGAATGATTTATGGTTACACATTTCATGCCATTTATGAATAATCACTTCAGAATGAAACCTTAGACAACTCAACAAGCCGTGATATCAACAGATGACAAAAAATCAGTCATCGGCCATTAGCTGTTGTTGCGTTTGGCGTCAGACTGAGGCCCGACCACAGAACATCAACTGCAATCCGTCAAAAATTACCTCTAGGATTAGCAAACGCGGAGCATTTGTATGCAGTGCAGACAGGAAAATGTTCGCTCTTTCACTGAGACGTCAAGTCGACAGTGTCACTTAACTGTAATGCACATAATGTGCTGTTGTGAACACATCTCTCTGTATTGACCTCGTGGAATATGTTCCACTTAAAAGTGCAAACTTAAGGAAATGTGCATTAGATATCATAACAAACAGACAAGTCCCAAACTGTAGAGGTATGTGTGCAGTGTGCCAACAGAGTCAGTCTGCTGTGGGTCTGTCTGCCACTCAACACACAACATTTTTACGGTAAAGAGTTTTGTCTTCCTCTAAAACAAGACCTGATTACTGACATTTGACCACACACACACACACACACACCAGAATACATTTATTGACGTGTTTTTTTTTTTTTAATTCAGTGCTATTTTTGCCTTGTTTTGCAGCACAGCAACATTACACCATGTTGTATGCATTTCGCATGAAGGATTGATGACTCCATCATAAATATTTTTTCCGAGACGTCTCTCTTTTGGCTGTGAAGACCGTTTAATAGTTAATACATATTCATCACGTCCCGCCCTGTGGAAACTTCTCAGGAACTGTTAAAAAGCCAACTCCGTCAATAATGGAACATGAAAACGGCCACCTCCCCACCACCCCACCCCGCAAGCCACACATTTGAAGAGTGATACAGTTTTAAGATGCTGTGAAATTCCTATGAGTTGCTTTTTGGCAACGCTACACAGGAGAGTTGCTGGACCTTTGGCTGCCAGAGGCACATTAATGATGTTGATCACAGGCCGCAGTTATGAACCAGTGTGTGTCATGACTTAGTCTCCTAACCTTTTTACTCACCCCAAAACTTCAAGCACTTTCACTCTCACACCCCCTCGGACCCTACAACCGTCCCCCCACCCCCCCTCCTGCGTGGCCTGGGGCTATATTATTGGGTAGAGAAGCCAAATTGTTTCTCTTTTGTATTGCGAGACTCCATCCTGTCTGTGGGTCTCCAGCCCCCTAAACCACAGCTGGCAGCACAGTCAGCCTGTCTTGAGGAATGCAAGGGGCTTCTAATGGTTACACCCTCACTCACTGTGCTGAGAGCGAGATCACACGCTGCTCTCACTCACCATCTTTTTTTTTTTTTTTCCATCTCAAACACAAACATGCAGACAAACAAACACAAATGTGTAGATACGGTACCACAGAGACCAGCGGGGTCGTGGGTTGTCTCGAAGCCGTGGCTCCTCCTGCCATCTGAACTGTGAGCAGCAGCCATTGAAAGGGGTCACAGTGATAGTGGGACACCGCACATTCCCCTGTAATATCATCAGCCGTAATCTTGACCCAGACTGGGTGTCTGAAGTTGACTCTTTTCAGCTGACACCAGCTAAAAGTCATGGAAGTCACTGGAAGTCCATTCAATGACCGGAACCCTCACAGACACTCGGCTCACACTGATGGTTTCAAGGTGATTTGTGAAACCCAAAATAACTCTGCATGTTTATAACAGATGCACGTTGCCATTTAGGAACTCGCTTTTACTCATTTAATGTACAAAGAGTCTCATAAACGCAGTTTCATTGAAAACCGACTGACATAAACAGTGATTACAACCTGGCTGGCACCGCTTTGGACCCTATACCAGAAACACGGCTAATGAATACCACTTGGTTACCGCTGGAGCCCTGGCATCGCAAATATCATCCGACTTCTCCTTTGCATTTGATATTCCACATGGGGCTGTATTTCTCATGCTAACAACCGCTGCAACATGCCCTAGCAATTCAAAGATCACACGCTAATGCCTACTTGTCCCCAATTACACCAAACACTGCTGGGCTCCACCGCTGCCCTTTGAAATGGATCTGCTTTGTGTTAAATATATTTACACTTGAAAACATCTCGAGAAAAGGCGAGGGAGAGCTTGCCTCCGTCGGCAGAAGGCGGCAGTGTGTAGAATACTAATCGGGCCCCGAGTGTGTTTGATGCTGGTGTTTGATGTTTTCCAAGGATCCGTGCCGAGGCTAAATGCTGAAAAAAAAGATGGAGGGTAAAGAAGAGGAGAGAGGGAGAGAGGAAAACTTGCTCAAACTTTGACTTCGGGGGTCTCTGGTCTGTGGAGGGACTCAGAGGGTTTAGGTTCTCTCCCTGGATATGCCCTTATTGTTTTTACCCTTCTACTTCAGGCACATTAACATCCATTGTTTTTGTCTCTTGTGGAACCGAGGGGGCAGTTCTGGCCTGTTTCTGTTTTTTTTTCCCTCTTCTTCTTCTTTAAACCACCTTGTCTAAAACTGTGGTCCAGGGCCTGACAGCAGTACAATAGTGAGGAATGTAGTTAAACTAAAAGAAACATTTATGAAACTGTGTTCTCTGTAAACCGTCATACTGTGTGAGTTAGAGCTAAGAAACCAGAGCTGACGGTAAACTTTGTTAATAACAATGATCTCCCACCAATCCATTTTCCACCTTCAACCTACCATCTGCACTAAGGTTGGCCTGTGTGAGTACTTTAAATTGTATACTCACCACATGTACCTAATGGGACCTTACTAAATGGTGCCCCCTGTGGCAGCGTGTGTCAGTCACAGAGACTCGCACTGTAAATGTCCCCATTGTGGGACAAATAAGAGACTCAGTTTTATTGCAGATGAAAAGTTGGAAGAATGTTGTTTAACATAAACTTTTTTGTGTGTGTTTTGTTGCACAGAGAGCCCAAACGGAGGAGTTGGGAAACATCGAGAAGCACATGAAGTCCAGTAAAAAGGAGGAAACCAAACAACTGGACAAGCCCGAACAGTGAGCGCCAGTCCTGCCTTCAGACTGTTGTCTCTGAACAAGTGTCTCTGTGACTGACCGTGTCCCGTCTTCAGGTTTCTGTTCCAGTTGTCGCAAATCCCCAACTTTTCTGAACGGGTCTTCTGCATCCTGTTCCAGTCCACTTTTCAGGAGTGCAACGCCTCGGTCCTGCGCAAAGTTCAGATCCTTCAGAGAGTGTGTACGGTGAGCATCTGGTTCTTTATCAGTGCAGAGTCAGTTGAACCTCCTCTGTATGTCCTAGCCCACCTTCACTGTGTGTGTGTGTGTGTGTGTGTCCTCCAGATCCTCCAGGGTGGTAAGTGTATATTGCAGGTGCTTGGCCTGGTGCTAGCTTTCGGCAACTACATGAATGGTGGTAATCGCTCTCGTGGGCAGGCTGACGGCTTCTCCTTGGACATTCTGCCAAAGCTGAAGGATGTCAAGAGCAACGTGAGTGTTTTAGCACGACTCTGTGTTTGTGTGTGTGTCGAGGAAGAAACAGCACTAACACCAGGGTTGAGGACTCACATTTTTACTGCTACAGCAGATATGAATTTGAACCCCCTGAATTATTCTAGTAGTGAATAAGTGATGAACCTCCAGTGCAGCCAAACATGTTAACCATGAGGCTGCGGGGATTCAGAGGAGGAGGACATTCTGTTTACTCTCCTCGTTCAATGTCATAACCCTCTGGCTACAAGTACCCTTGGCATTGCCATATAAGGGCGCAGTGGTTTGGTTTTTTTGCGTTGGTGGACGCAGTAATGTATCCATAAAGAACATCTAACTCTCCACCAACTCTGAGTTATAACGGCCAGGCCTGGCTAAGCTGTGTTGTGTTGTGTTGTGTTGCTCCAACCAGTGTCATATTTGTAACCCCCCCCCCAACATCTGAGAAGTGTAGTCCTCACTCTTGTTTGCCCGCACAAATTAAAACGTTCTGCGTCGAAATGATTAAATTAATAAATAACAAGGATTTGGTTTATTTATTTGAATCTTTCTCTGTTTTTCAGGATAATTCGCGCAGTCTTTTGTCCTACATAGTTGCTTACTATCTGAAGCACTTTGATGAGGTATGTTTTGGTTCCTGTTTATTTGAATCACTTTTTTGTTTTCCTTTTGATTTGCTTAGAAATCCGTCCAGAGCTCTCGTTTCATCTCCTCTCCCGCCAGAGGATACCGAGGCTTATCCTTTATCAAATTATTTATTTTTCTTTTCCTCATTTACAGCAGAAACAAATCTCTCTCCCCCTTTGTGGCTCTATTTTAATTCTCCCTCCGTCCCTCGCTCCACTTTGTTCTGGCTTCATTCAAACCTGCAGCCAGTCCATTGGCACAGCATCCAAAGGAGCCATAGTGTAAATAGTTAGTTTCTCCAGATGAGATGAACTCAGAGAGATTCCTGCCAAAATCAACCTGGATGTCAGGACTGCAGAGATCACAACGGTGCTGCAGTCGCTCTAATGGAGAGAATTTCACTTCACTAATCTCTAACAGTCGTTTCCTTTGAACCTCTAAACTAAATTCTATCATTCTCAGCCCTTTAAACTCTCAGAAAGTGTTTGCAGGTCTGTGAAAACATAAATTGCAGCATAACTTGCTGGGCCCTGAAGTATATTTTATGTATGTGTTTTCCAGGATGCTGGCAGAGAGACATCTGTCTACCCTCTGCCTGAGCCCCAGGATCTTTTTCAGGCCTCTCAGATGAAGTTTGAGGACTTTCAAAAAGATTTGCGCAAGATGAGAAAAGACCTGATCGGTACACTTTTATATACAACCTTTGATATGTAGTTTTTATATGTTTGGTCCTTGAAAAAAACTGAGAAAAGCACCTTTAGCTGACGACATGTCAAGTAGTAGATGAGTATTTGTGCTTTATTTTGTTTATTTCTGGGAGTACAATGGAAAATAACGTGGCTAACCTGACTGGATATGGAAATGTCTGGCTCGTAGAGGCCGGTCAACAGAGAGATAGCATCTGTTTGTCGTACAGACACGCTAACCAGAAGCAGATGTCATTTGTCAGATGCAGACTCCTGTTGGACCTGGTGTTCCTTTACTGCCCTCATGAAAGAGGGAACAAAATATAAAGGGAACCGGGCCGGAGCAGTTCCACTACCTGTGCGCACTATCAAAGGTTCATCATTTATCTGCCCGAGCAGAGGAGCCGCAAACCTCCAGCGCGCAACAATCAGAATTTCAAAGTCCTCCCGAACATCATTGTGCATGTCGTGCGTCATTGCTTTGCCCAAAGGGGCTATAAATGAAATGATTTGGGTAAAAGCTGAGCCTTTGAATGTAATTCATTTTATATTCATTGATTAATTTATTCGACATCAGTTAGTGGTTTAAAATTGGTTCCTGGAGCAATTATGGGGTTATTCTATCTCATAACCCTCCATCACAATTCACTTTCTACTGGCCAGTAGTAACCATCGCTGCTCATTTAACTCTTATCACATGCCATCGTCTCCTGAGGAGAAATCATTTTTACGGCCTCCACAAGCTGAAGTTTGGGTCAAATATCTATTTAAAATAAAATAAAAAATAAATTTGTACTATATTGATCCCATATCTGGGAAGTCGATCACCTGTTTGCTAGTTCAATCCTCGGCTTTTCGAGTTTGCCATTAATGTGTGGGTTTTCCAAGTTCTTCGGCTGTCTCAGATTCAAGAAAACATTTTGAAGATTTTGACTTTGGTTACAATCTGTATGTCCAGTCTTTCTGAATCGGTGGCTCTCAAGTGGTGGTCCGCTGTGTGCCTGCGGTCCAACAAGCTGAGTAATTGTGGACCACGGAGCTGTGGAACATTATTTACTTTGAAGCGATTAAAGATAAATAATAGAATATTTAAATTTAACAGTGTGAGTCTAAATGAATATTTAAATTTAACAGTGTGAGTCTTTACAAATGACACGGGCTGCCACAGAAGGCACCATTAGGGAAATTTGGTTCCTCTGGGAATCGAACCGAGGACTCTCTGCTCTTTGAGTGCAAGGAAGGCAAGCTAACTGCTCCACTATTGTGACCGTCGTGAAAGAAGTTGAGTCACATTTGCTGGTACGACCACTGAAATAATCTTTGTCAAAGTGTAGAAGATTCAGTCTGAGTATCAGACTTCAGGATTACGATGACAGACTCAGCTGAGCTGTTGAGTGATAGAGAGGCCTAATGAACGAGACAGTGGGGACATACTCCCTTTCATTACTTTGTCTCAGGTCACACATCAGTCAGAGCACTTCTCCAAAGCTGTGACCTGCCAACAGGTGTTTAAAACAAAAAAGAAAATGTGTTTTTCGTGTGGACATGCGTACCTTTGTGTGATCGAACATGCGTATGTGCACAAGGCAGCGCAATAGACCAATTCCCCAAACCCGGTCTGTTCTCGATCATGTTTTATGCACCTTCTCTGCTAAACCAATCAGGTGCCTGCTCCTGTGTTGCCAAATATTGTTTTTCCTCTACGGTAATGATTCTTGAGGCTGTTCATTATTTGCAATTCATAAAGATGAAGTTGCTCGCAGGGGAAAATGGACTTGCGTCGACTCTGACCCCAGTGGCTGTGGCACATGCCGTCCCTACATAAATACATCATCAAATGCTTTACCTGCAGAGCTCTTCATTACCGAGCAGAGCCCAGCTGAGCGCTCTAACAGACGCCGGCTTCGATGACAGTTCCCACAGGGAGGTTCCGATCAGTAGGCGGTGCAGAAATGGCCTTGGCTGCCCTAAAGGACATAACCCAGCAGCAGAGAGCAGAGAACTCGCCGTGTACCTTCAGGGCCGCAGCGCCATATGGTCGATGAATTAGCGTTTGCCTATTCCCGACCTTTCCTTTCTCTTAAGTGTCTCGTGGCCTCTGAACCTCTGAGGTCTTGAGCTCGGTTTGTGTATCTGTTAGGTTTGCAGATAGTGCGTGACCAGAGGATTCTCCGGGGATCAGTTACAGGTCGTCTGTTTCCACTGGGGGGGGGGTTAATTAGTCATTATGGGTCATTCATTTTAAACTGACACTTCCACATCCACATTGCACGGTTGTGTTTGACAAGTCATATATTTTGATGCCACTCAAATCATTCGAGGGGCTGAACCTTTTTTTTTTTAATTTTGTGTGAAGCAAAAAAAAAAAACTTTTATTTTCTTAATCACTCGACTTTAACAAACGATTGAAATACAAGCCACGAGTAAAATGTTATTTCCTCTAAGACTTCCTGACATGCTAATCCCCATTTTATTCATTCTCATATTTAAATCATTCCTGTCTAAGTCGTAGGTTTAGGAACCAAGCGAACTTTTTATAAGGGAAATAAAACCCTTTGGCCCCATTGGTGAACCTGATGGGTCACAGGACTGACATTTTTACATGTGTTAGATCAGTTTTCTGTCTGAAACGGTTCAAAATATAAAAGTGGCGGTACGTATGTCGTCTTATTCAGCAGAAATTTGTGGACGCAAGCTCAAGCAGGAAAAATGCAATGTAGAGGTTTTTTTTTTTCCAATAACAGAAACTCTGGAGAGGATATTATTGCTGTATTGCTCTGACAGACTTTTTCCCTCGTCTCATCATGATCATCTCCTGTTTCAGCATGCTCAGCTGAGACTGAGAAAGTCTGCAAATTGTCATCTGAAGAGAACCTACAACCTTTTAAGGACAAGATGGACACCTTCCTGAGCCAAGGTGAGTCTGTTGTTCAAATGATCGGAATTGTACATTAATTAACAATTTAATCGTCCAATCATTGAACAGTAAAAATGGTAATAATTTTCTCTTTTTTATATTTGAAATCATTTGTGGGGCCACACGGTGGCAATTGCTGTTAGAACGCTTGTCTTTACAAGATCACTTGCTCGCTGGTTCAATCCCCTTGTTTCCATCTCTCGTTTTCTGTCCCTTGAAACATGGATCAGGTGCCCCGCCCTGGAATAAAGGTCATGACCTTTTTTGGTATGGCTTGTTGGTTTTTGTTTAAATCTCTCTTGAACTTTTTTAGTTTCAGTATTTTTCAGCAGAAACTTCTCTGACGATCTGATCAGTCAGATTTTTCTCCGTTCTCCAAATCTGTCTTGTTCTGTTCTCTGGTCAGAAACCCAAACACACACACACACACACACACACACACAGCAGGTTTCACTCAGTGTTGTTTCCATAGGGACGTGTGTTTTCTCCAGGTTGTATTGAATAACTCACAGCTATTGTTTTGAATGTGCCGCTGTGCTTTGATGGATTATGACTGCTCTTTGTAGCCGTGCACCCTGTCTGGATCTCAGCCTTATAAATCAGTTCATATATTTTGCTCTTCCTCTGAGGACCATTAAGAGTAAGGACAGTTGAAACTGTCATGCATCCGGTAAATTGACCGCCGTAAACAGAACGCACTCACGGGACACAAGCATCCTCCCGTTTATTGTAGCTGTAAGCGTATCACAGAAAGTTTTTAGCCACTGACTGTATATTTCATTAGATCGTCCTTTACGATTGTTAGCGCTCGTTTCACTTGAATCATATGATAAAACCATTGACCTTTTTAGCGTTTTTGTGGTTTGTCAGATGTGGAGCCTATGAATGTAAATATGTTTATATATATGTGTGTGTGTATATGCTGTATCTTCAGGTAAGTCAAACAGTTACAATTCTTTTAATAATCAGCTGAGAATTAGTTATGAATAATCATGATTAATTGTTATTGTAATTAATCATAATATCACAATATTGAATGATAAATCAATGTATATGTGTGTTTGTATATTTATGATATATAATAATAATAATAATAATTTGTACTATATTGATCCCATATTTGGGAAATTCTGGTTAGCAGTAGATATGCTGTTAACAGGCTGCTCCTAGCGTGTGGTTCCTCTGGGAATCGAACCTAGGACTCTGCTTCCAAGGCAGGCATGCTAACCGCTACACTATAGAACTGACAAACAAATGTTTTCTATTTATTATCTTCTATTTCTATCCTCTATCTATTGTTATATGCAGTGGTCTCACATAGTCAGAATCCAGCTCCTTTTTAACTTTTAATCTGTTCTCTCTGTATGTCATCCTAATTTACAGTAAATATTTGATATATTCTATAGCTGAAGATCTCAAAGTGACACCTGAGATCAAAGGGTTGTCGAATTTTAGACAGGAGGAGTTTTTCGTTACATATAAATTAAATGGATTGTCTAAAATTCAGTTTTTCGTTACATATAAATTAAATGGAAATTTTAGATCTTTCTGTGGACTCTGACCAGCATCAGTAGTGGCAACATCCCATTATCTTACTGTACAATATCACTGTTGAGTTCAGTCAGACCGAGAGCTGTTTAACTCTATATATTAATCTTGTAATTCGTAGATATAAAAAAAAAATCATTTGTATTAAATCGTCATGTCAGCAACATGCAGTGGCGCTTTTTATCACCGTGATCTGACAACAAAATACTGTACATGCATCCAATATATGTACGGCTTACTTTCATTTCAACATAACAAGCCAAATGCCAGTCATTGTGTTTTCTCGGCTTTGGCCCTGGTTGCATTCGCTTAACTGTGTCCAATCTTTGTGAAGGACCCGGCTCTCAGGCCTCTCACCAACTTCTTTTGTATTCAAATGAGGGTATAATGTGTAGCATATGTGGTGCTATGGTAATGCTCACTGTCCATGCAAAGAGAGAGTCAGCAGATGAAAGCACGTCTCCCTCTCTTTCTTCTTCTCCTCGTTTCTTTGTGTTTCACTGAAATATGGAGGCGCGCTCTTTGATGCAAATGACATTTTTTGAAAGCAACAGTGTAACATAGACATGTGACTTACAGTACGAGGCTCCAGACGGGATTCTTGGGCTTCCTCCACTGCTGCGGTGAAAACAGAAACAACAGCCAAATGTCTTATTTTTGTTATTTTTGGTAATTTCTGAAAAGCCTGAGGTTAAACTGTTTCTGGCTCCGGTGTTTAAGCCACTTTTGTTTATTTTCTGACCATGAAACTAACCACAGAATAACAGTGGGAGCGGACTTGTTGGAGCTCGGCTGTTTGGTCTAGCTCAATTTTCTCCGCTCGCTTCACAAATTCTCATGCATGCAGAGCTTTTCATGGACTGACTGGCAACACGAGCCTCGTGCTAATCCATTTCTATGGACATAGAAATTAGCAAAGCTGTCAAAGCTAACTCCTGGTTATTACTGACTGTTTAACAAAGCAAATATTTTAAAATAGCTTCTGTGAACGTGTATCAATTCAACTCATAACCACCAAACCCTTTTCAGGGATCTGCATGTTCTTGGACTGTTGAAGAAAAACTAGAGAACACAGGAGAAAACCCATGCACCTCCAATTCCCTCTGGAATTTTACGGGGCAAATAAACCTGACTTCCAGAAAACTAGAATTACAAAAAGTAAAACTTTAATTTGTGGTCAGAATGAGCCGCAGGACAGCCTGAGGTCTCAATACCTGTTGTACCTTGTGTGTTGAAGTAATCTTAATGTTTTCCTCATAATGACTGCATATTTCACGGCAGCGTCTTCCAACCAGGTGTTAAAATATGTTGAAAATTAAATCTTTTTCAAGATGTCTTTCGATGCCCTTCAAAGCTATTTATCAACATGTCGTCAGCAGATAGAGACACAGTCTTGGACGACACAGTGATGGAGCACTGTGGAATAGACGGTAAAGCATAGTGAAGGCCCCAGCGGGTCGGCCTGGGATCCTTAGATGCGCCTCTGGCTTCGATTACACAAAGCAACCAGATATTCCCAACAACACCAATCCGCTGCCAGAAAAGATCCCCTGTCCTGTCGACTGTCGGCTCTGTCCTGACAACAAGGGTGAGGCCGTAGTTTGTTTCTGGTCATTTGACAGCTGAGGGCCAGAGCAGCTTACACAGTTTTATTTTTTTTTTACCACCGGGAGACAGACGGGCCGTGTGGGGACGATTTATGGTCTTAGTCTTTTGTCAAGTGTCCATCAGCCTGGACCACCACTGAACGCAGCTCCGCAGATCCTGCGAATGCAGAATGGGAACCTAGAAGTGAAACTTGATTAGCGCTGACCTGAAGGCTTTTCCAGACCCAGACACGTTTCCTCGTTGTTCTCATCCACCATAAGTTATGACATCGTCAGAAAAATGCTGCTGGCACAGTAAGATAAATGGTGCAGCCAGCTGGAAATATGGTGTTTCCTAATGGTTACCATGTTGTCCACCTCCAGGTTTCTTCGTCCTGTGTCTGTGTCTGTCTTTACCCTAACACCTCTCGCTCACAAACACACACACACACACACTCATCTGTCTCCATTCAAGTAACCCTGCACAAAGAAGCACTTGTGCTGAGGTCTGCAGCGCTCATTTGTCAGTTGTGCAACAGTGGACGGTCCAACACTCAGTAACCCGGTGGCACAACGTTGACCTTGAGAGGACTGTGGGTTTAAGTAATGGTGACGGGTGGAATTCTGCCCGACTCACATTGACTGACGGAATTTTTTTTTTTTTACAATAGTGAAAGTCATTGTTGATCCTTTATTGATGAATATATTCTGTCTGTGTTTGACATTGATTTTACAGCTAAGACAGAACTGGAGGCTCAGGAGAAGCAGCTGTCAGACACCCAGAAAATGTAAGAGCTATTTCTTTTTTTTTTCATCTATACACTTCCTTTTTTGATAAGTTGCGTATAAAGTTCTCTCCAGGTGTCACGGCAGTGATCATTTCCAAATTTGAGCCTGGAAGTGATATAATATTGGACATAACAGCACAGCTGGAAGTGATGCATTATCACCAGAGTGAAGAAATATAATCTCAGTGCTCTGTCAATGTGTAGGGTTGCTGGTTCCTTCAGTTGCATGGAGGTTGCGAGCCGCAGTGCCAGGCCAGTAGACGGGAGGCCCCCGGTGCGGTGTCTGTGTTGTTTATCTAAGCAGAGCGAGAGTAGACAGCCTTGGCTCCAGGCTTCTGTTACTGCTGGCTAGGAATGTGTTCCTATAGCACACTCCAAACAAAGAGACCCCGACCTGTCCGCCGTATTGATCCACTGCAAATGGTCGACGTGCTCAACACTTCCACATGTGTCACTCCCTGCCATGTGCACGCCCGTGCTGTTATCCAATCCTTCAGCTCTCCTTGATCCCTGCTCATGTACACAGTGTCACAGGGTGACGATGAGAAACGCTGTAGCTGGGATGTATAAGGGTTTTATTTTGGCTTTGGAAAGTATTCTTCAGAGGGAAAAGTGGCTGCTGTTTTATGTTAGTACTCACATTTTTTTGTTCATACTTCTCCTGCAATGCAGTATAATCACTGGTTTGGTGTTTTTTAATGTTACCAAAGCTCTACTTTTCATATTTTGCATATTTGCACAGCTCTGCTAGGTTTTACAACAATTGCTGTAGGTTTTTGGTTGTTTTGGGTTTTTTTGCAATCTTGTGTTGCAAGATTTTGGTCTCCAACTAATGTTTTTCTTCTCTGCCCTCAGCTTCTTGGAGTTGAGCATGTCGTTTTCAGTCAAACCAAAGGCTGGAGAGAAAGAGGTCTCTCCAAACACTTTCTTTTCCATTTGGCACGAGTTTTCGACAGATTTCAAAGAGCAGTGGAAAAAGCAGAATAGGCTGATGTTACAGGAACGGTGAGAGAATTTTCCTGCTTCTGGATGTGACACTGCACTGATACAGACGCACATTCTCACACATTCGTCAAGCCTACCAGTCCAGAACTAAACCGGTGGTAAATCTATGCGGTTGTCCGTCATTGCAGAGACCCTCCTGTTCCTACAAGCCAAACTTTCCCTCGGCGTACATTTCCTAACCATTAATAACATTCAGTTTGTCTCCTGTCCACTGAAGATCCTATCGGATTCATTCAAATTCATGAAGGGAAGGGAGGTTAAATGACCCATGTCTATGTGCTCACCCCAGTAATGAAAAAAACACATGGAGCATCCAGTTAGCTTCCAGTGGTTTGATGACTAGAGAGATAACGTCCCATATATCAACAAAAAAGCAAATTGGTCCATTATGTTAAATAAGGAGAGCTGCATTATGCATTTTCTAGGAGAAGCCAAAGTATCAAATGCTTTGCTTTAACAGTAGGAAAGGATGAAAACAAATTTGAAAAACATTAACTCTTTGCCCTTTGCCACAGGGCAGTCGTTTCAGCCGACTTCAGACGATAGATGTCGGCGCTCACCTACGCTGTACGGACACCCAGCGCTAACATGTCATGACTGCAGCCAAGACGCATGGCTGTTATGTTACTTCTGTCCTCACTTATAGCAAACATGCTGATGTTGAGCCTTTGTTTTATTTTTATTTTTTTGTACAAGTACAATTTGGTCGTTACACTTCCAGCTCACTCACTCCATGCTTTAGTAGTAAACCAGAATGAATCACTTCCAAATAGCGTGATTGGCTTCCGGACAAACCGAGATCATCGTGTCCAAATACCACATGACCATAGCCGGGACCGTCCAAGTAGGAAATGTTGTAGTCCTTCTATTTAAAGTCATTAAATAGTGAAATTCAGGAGCGTGCACGTGTGTCAGGATGAGTATTTATGTTTCCTCCGCCTCAATATTTGTATGATGTTTTATTTTCTTTTTCTTTGTCAGTCTCAAAATGGCTGAGGATTGCTTCAGACAAGCCAGGGAGAAGGCGTCCTACAGTGTGAAACCCAAACATGCAACTGGAATTGTACGTCTTTGTGCTCATTATTATAGCTGAGTGCTTGTTTTTTTTTTCTTTCTTTTTTTTTAGCTTTTGTGAATTTAACTCCAGAGGTTTCTGCCCTCTATTGTTTTCCTCCTGCTCTGTGCACATTATCTCCTCACCTAAAGCATAAAAAAACCCCACTTTTGGCTCCGAAAGCCTCTTGTTGAGATGAGAGCCAGTGCTGCCAGCTGTAAATAACTCAGACCTGTTATTTTATTCCACAGAAAGCAAAGCTGGGTCAGAAGATCTGAAGCAGAAAATGGAAAATGATCATCATCAAGCCCTGTTGCACAAGCGCTGTTTGTACAATCTTAGCATGAGTCACCAGTCATTTTTACATTTATTTGCTTCCCGTATTTGTTTACACATGATTTAGAGCTGTTTTTATAAAGCAATGTTCAAAGTGGACATTATGAGGAAATTGTATTGTTTGAACATGGAATTAAGCAGAGAGAAAAAAAGGAAAAAAGAATCGGTTTCTCAGCCAGCTTTTTTATAGCACTGGCCAGAAATGTCGGTAAGACATCATTAAGCTGTGATGATTAAATCGAAATGAGTCATTTGTCAGAGAAATGTAAACTGTGTAATTTGTAGCAACACTATATCAAAGCTTTCTCCGTGTTGAAAAGGCCATCTGTAGTTTATTTTCATTTTATTCCAATGTCCAAGGATTTTTTTACACAGACCAAATACATTCCTTCTGTTTTCTCCTTTAATGGAGAACAACACAGAACGTTTTTATTCTCCTTTTCTACAAGATGATCCTGGATCACCTGCCAAACAAACAGTGCCTTATCGCACAGTAGTGGTTCGATGGCTGATCTAAGATCAGTTTTTTGACTGTTATATGTCAACGAGATTAGTCAACATTACACAGTGTGAGGTCTACAAACATAGAGACCTTACGCTGTGTTTTTTATAATGTGTTTTATTTAAGTTGAAGTACGTGAATGCATCACAGTCTATGCATTTTTCTTTTGTCTAAGAGTGTGAATCCTATTATACGGTTATTAAGGAATGTTCACGATATCTAAGAGTGTGAATCTTATTATACGGTTATTAAGGAATGTTCACCTATTTACAACAGTGTTATGTTTTGTTCTTACTATGAAAAAATATTTATTAAATAAAATACATTAGTGTGAAAATAAATGTATAACAGCCATAGTGTTGTTTTAAACTATATATATTGACAAACTGTTTATATTGTTTTATATATATATATTTATAAAACACATATCATCGCATACTGTGTGTATAAACAAATATATGTACACATATATATGAAAGATGTATGTATATAGTATATTTGTTACATTTTGACGTGTGTATATATATATTTATATACGCATATATAAATATATATGCATATTACACACACGTCAATGTGTATATATATATGTGTGTGTGTGTCTATATGTTTCATTTTAACCCATGGGCTGTGTATCCAATATGTGTGTATTCCGCTGTCCATCCTCTTATTATTGCTCTTGTACAAAGTCAATACACATGTTGTTATTTGCACATACTGTGGTACAAAGTTTCTGTTTTTACCAAGGCAACACAGTCGTCTCAACGCCCACTATGCCATGGTGGAGGCTTCGACTTCAGCTCAGACGCCCGGCTCAGGTCAGACCAGCCTCACTGAGGAAAAGGCAGTGAGTAAGTCCACAACTGACAAGCTGACTGACACAACTGACAGATGCTTTTATATTTTTCATATTAATAATTCAATTATTATTATTAGGTGTGTCCTAACACAGTGGTTCCTGAGCCTTTTCTTTAGCGCCCCCTGTCTTTTTAAACAGGACATTTTCAAAGCTTTTGCTTTGAAATATATTGAAAACACTGTATTTCTAATATTTATATATAATCTATAGAATGTCGTTTTCAAAGCAAACACTGTATATCTAATATTTATAGTATTAGTATTTTTAATATTTATATATAATCTATAGAATGTTTGTCAGACAATGTTTTTTTTTCTGTTACAGTGTACAAAGAAGCCGTTCATCCCTTCAGAGAAAACTACGGCAGAAAGAGTTTACAGGGTACAGTTTATTTTTATTTTATTAAAAGCACTGCATTGAAGGTATAGTATCTTCCCCGTGTCCATAATATTCTGAGGTCCCAAAAAACACCGGTACTTTCCTTCCTTCTCGCCACATCAGTACCAAATGTACCAAAAACACAGGTATAAAAATGAGCTATGAGTTCTCCATATGATTTATATTTATGAATTACATGAATTTCAAGGGTCAATATGACTGAGGTCTTTCTGCAAACAGGCCTTTTCCACAGAGGAATCATTCACCTCATGTACAAACAACAAACAGTGAACATGAGTTTGAGTGTGTCTCTGGTGCACAGTCACTGGGAACAGTTTCTTTCAGCAGCTTCATCTTATCAAAAAAAAGGCTGAATAAATCAAGCGTTTGTCCTTTGATAGTAACAGCTCCACGGTTCGTGTCCTTAAAGTGAGACTGGCCATTACTCGGGAAACAGTTTGTCTTAGTTTGAAGGCAGTTTTTGACTCTCTTTGAGGGGGTGGGGGTCTTTAACGTGACCCTTCACAGTTTTCCATGATTGCTCACGTCCACAGACATGCAGCGACACTGTTTGACCCGCTGCACTTTACGGTGTCTGAAAGGAGGCTGCAGGTCTGGACAGTCCAGCTGCACCGTGAGCTGTGTGATGCGGTGAGGCCTGCAGAAGGAGCAGGACTGGAAAGGCTCTTGGGCCTTGTTGTGGTTTTTCCGCCCAGAACCTGAACCCTGGCCTCGGCTCTGGCCTTGGCCGGAGCTGGGGCCCATGTGACGGGGGATGTAGAAGGAGTTGCACTGGCCGTAGCAGAAGCGGTTGACCACGGTGCGGCTGCGGCAGCCCTCCTCGCTGATGGTCTGACGCAGCGGTTGGGTTTTGCACCAGTCTCTGCGGAGGTAGCGCCGTTCCGTCACCACCAGAGCCTCTCGGCTGGAGGACAGCACCTCGGGTTTCTGCTGCAGTAACCGATGGTGACGTTCCGAGGACAGGTTCCCTTTAGTCTTGTAGGGGGACGGTATGGACCCCTGGGGGCGTGGCTTTTTGGTCGCCGCAGTGATGCACAGCACCCCAGCCAGGATGACCGGGAGGGTTATTCTCCACAGCATTCTGCAAGAAAGTGAGAGACATGTTTGTATGCGTTACTTGTCCAAACAAAAAACAAGAGTGGTGCTCATGTGAGATAAAAGAGTTCGGCAGCACAACAGCCATGTCGGACAACAGTCAAACTATCAAAACCAATGTTTCCAATTGTTTGAAACTGTAACAATGTGCATTCATGTTGAACCACCTTTGGAGTCTAGCCTTCCAGGCATCACTGGGGAGATTAATCCATCACCAGGGCCCCCATTTGTCAGCATCTCTGTGTCATTACTTGTATTTGCTTTCCTCCTGGCTACGCAACTCTTCTAAAAATAAACAAAGTGCTGCCATCAAAGGATACACTTAAACACCCATAACGAGAAGGGGAAGTTGATTTTATTGGTCCCGTCGCCGGGTAAAATAATTAGGGCTTTGCTTACTTTAGTCATGAACTATGCCGCAGATATGTAAACAGGCATTAGAGGGCCCCATCTGCATGTTATTAGGGGAAGAGTAGGGGGGAAATCTACAGTGCCCTTTGGGAGTCCACTCCTCTACTCTTTGGTGATATACGATGGAGGAAAGTGAACTGGGAATGACCTGCGTCCATAATCACCAAAGTGTCTTCTGCATCATGCTAGTCCTGCTAGTCTTCTGATCAAGGGGAACGATTTCCCCGCCGTGCAGGCTGGAGTCTTTCGCCAGTGTGCATGCTGTCAGTATTTGTGCCAGCACATTTTTGACCATCACTCAAGCATCTTTCCAGCAGATGTTGCTCTTGACAAGCGTTGCATGACATCAAGTCAGAAATTCTGACAGAGAACCAAAGTGCCTCAAGGCCATTGGCTGCTTACGTTCAGAGGCTCCTCTTTGCTGTGTAAATTTGTATGTTTTTTTTTTTGTTTGTTTGTTTTGTTTCTTCTTCTTCTTCTTCTTTCAACAGCTCAGTCTGACATGGAACAAATTTCACCAGACCTAACAGCTCAGTCTGACATGGAACAAATTACTATATCATGATCCACTTTGTTTTACCTCCTTTTACTGCCTTTGACCCTGAGGTCACGGCAGGTCGACTGAGCTGCACGAGCGTTAAGGTCATTATATCACCGTCCCGGTGACACTTGCAGTGAGCCAGGCAGCAGCTGTTGGTCCGCCCTGCTGAGCACCTCTATAAACTCTGACCAGACTTTCCTTCTTTCTCTCGCTACGTTTAAGGATATAAAAGAAATATATATTTGAGCTCCTCAGAGAGAGATCTATATTCCATCTAAATATCTCCCAAATCTGTTTTTGTTGTCTTCATTGAGAACTTGAACCTGCGCAGGAAGGAAGTGTTTTGAATTTCAGGTACCATCAGCCAAGAGACCTGATTTAAGTCCTCGACTTGAGCTTATTGGTGAGTGTTTGGTCCGTGCTACTCCTGTAGGAACACGTTATTGCACGCGCACATGCGAGCCAAAAACACACGCCCACACACCAGTCGTAGGGTTAGAAAAACTAAACCAAAGACTCCCGCTGGTTCTTTCCACCACCTACTGCATCGGGGAGACGTGACCCCACTCCATCTTCCAGTGATCTACCTTCCATGTGCAACAGCCTCATTTGTCTTCAGCTGCACTGACTTGTTCCTGCTGGCTCTGTGCCTAAACCCCCGACAAGAGAAACAGGCCAATCTGTGTGCAAGCTCTTGTTCTCTGTTTTTCTCCAGCGATGGCCTAAAGAGGCACACCGCTGTTAGTTCAGAGACCTGCGGGTCTGCGAAGCCCCGGGGGACACTGGGAGGGGGTGGGGGGGGATGACCAAAGTGACTGTGTACACAGGACATGACTGATGGCTCCTACAGTCAGCAGCCACACTCCCTCCGCTCCCAAACTAAGCATCGGTATGATAGTGGTGGCCCTGCCAAGATATTCTAATCAATCTCTGCAGCAAAGACAAATTGGGGTTTTGGGGCAGAGATTCAGGGGCTTGTGGGAGCGCTGAGGTGGATGAGAGAGGTGGGGGTGTTGCATGGTTGAGGTTAGAAGAAAGAAAAAAGGAGGCAGAAATGATGGGGTTGGGGACAAATGACCTGGGAAACCAAACCAGACCCCTCTTCCACCTCTTGCACAGTTGTAGTGGGAAACCAAACCAAACCCCTCTTCCACCTCTTGCACAGTTGTTGCCCTCCTTCCATAGCTGCGTATCT